TGACTGACGACTGAAGATTGAAGCAATATCGAACTCATGCCTGAATTATTCATTCAGTTCCAAAATGCCTGTGTTGCATGTTAATTCAGTTCCAAAATGCCTGTGTTGCGTGTTCTGCGCTCCTGCTGTTGTGTGGCACTACGAAAATACTCCACCCTTTGAATTCAGCTGCACAAGCAGGTTCTGAAGCCACCAGGTGTGTATCATATTGTTGTATCGAACGACCATGAATGATCTTTTAAAAAACAAGACTCAGCAGCTGAACTTTGGTAGTTGAAACTAAGAAGTGCTTTTGACAGATTCTGAAATTCAGAATGATGAACAGATGGACTGCTTTGTTTCACACTGAAGTAAAGCTGGGAAACCTCTGTTTTCTAACAACAAGAATGATTAACAGATTCGGAAACAATCAAAACCAAAGAATGATGAACAGATTCAGAAACAATCAAAACCACAATCAGGCATAAACTTAGGGGAAAACAGCACGAGTTGTATTGCATGCACGAGATTCAATTAGATTCCATAATTAGCAGTGCCGGCCACGCGCCTAATTAACCGCCGTGGCAAATTAAGCCGCCGGAGCGTCTGTGGATGGAAATAGAGAAGATGGAAACATCCCTGGCAGAATCACAATCATCAAGAATGCAAACGAATCGAGGCGGATCCGCGTCGCCGATCCAGTATCAGCGGCGATCGCGCGATGCGCTGGTGGCGATCGGCAGCCAGCGGCGCCATGTATTGAAGTTGGAGCGGCCGCCGCGGATCCACGTTCGGCAACGTGTAGTAAGCGTTCGTTCTGCACCTTCTCCGGCGGCTCGACGGTGAGGTCACGCGCGATGGCGGGCGTGCAAGCATCGGCGGTGCTGCGGGCCGGCAGGTGGCTCCTGCCGCTCACCATCCCAGCGTGCTGCGTCGTGTGGATGCTCCTCGTCTTCTCGCCTCCGACGCCCGAGCTCGATGCGGGCCACCGCCATAGTTTCCACGTGAACGTTGGGGAGACCGTTGCCGCGATGGACCGACGGGGCACACCGCCGGTGCCCGAGCGTGAAGATGTCGTACACGCGTCACCGCCGCCGCCGGAGAGTCTAGCAAGAACAGAAACCCCACCGTCGTCACCGCCACCGGCGCCGGAGAACGAAGAGACCATTGACACGTCTCCGCCGCCTCCGGAATGCCGACCAGGAGCACGACCCTCGCAACCGCTGCCGCCGGAGCGTGAACGGATCCTTGACGCGTCGTCACAGCCGCCGCCAGTGCGGCAATCAAGAACAGAGATTCCAGCTTCGCCACCGCCACCGGAGCCGTCTCATCAACGTTTGGCGAGGGCGCAGAAGAAGCCGGCAGCCGTGGCCGACCGGTGCGCCGGCCGGTACATCTACGTCCAGGACCTGCCAAGCCGGTTCAATGCCGACCTGCTCCGCGACTGCCGGTCACTCTCGGAGTGGACGGACATGTGCAGGCACGTCGCCAACGCCGGCATGGGCCCGCGACTGACGCGCACCGGCGGCGTGCTCCCGCCCACGGGCTGGTACGACACGAACCAGTTCACCCTCGAGGTCATCTTCCACAACCGGATGCGGCAGTACGGCTGCCTCACCACCGACGCCTCCCGCGCCGCCGCGGTCTACGTAACCTACTACGCGGGGCTCGACGTGGGCCGGCACCTGTGGGGGTTCAGCAACGACGTGCGCGACACCCTCGCCGAGGGCCTCGTGGGCTGGCTCCGGTCGTCGCCGGCGTGGGCGGCGCACGGCGGGCGGGACCACTTCCTCGTCGGCGGCCGCATCGCGTGGGACTTCCGGCGCGAGGACGGCGGCGAGTGGGGCAGCCGCCTGCTCTTCCTCCCGGGGGTGAGGAACATGACGGCGCTCGTGCTCGAGTCCGGCCCGTGGCACGTGGGCGACGTGGGCGTGCCGTACCCGACCTACTTCCACCCGTCGCGCGCCGCCGAGGTGGCCTCCTGGCAGCGGACGCTCCGGCGCGCGCGGCGGCCCTGGCTGTTCGCGTTCGTCGGCGCGCGACGGCCCGGCGAGGGCGGCGGCGGCACCCTGCGCGACAGCGTGATCGACCAGTGCGCGCGGTCCCGGCGGTGCGGGCTGCTGCAGTGCGGCCGCGGGCGGCGCAGGGACTGCTACGCCCCCGGCAACGTCATGCGCCATCTCAAGAGCGCGGCCTTCTGCCTGCAGCCGCCGGGGGACTCGTACACGCGGCGGTCGGCGTTCGACGCCATGCTCGCCGGCTGCGTGCCGGTGTTCTTCCACCCGGGCTCAGCTTACACGCAGTACAGGTGGCATCTGCCCGCCGACCACACCAGGTACTCGGTGTTCGTGCCGGGGGACAGCGTGCGCAACGGCACCGTGCGCGTGGAGGACGTGCTCCGGCGGTTCGGCCGGGCAGAAGTGGCGGCGATGAGGGAGCAGGTGATCCGGATGATACCCGGCATCGTGTACAGGGACCCGAGGGCTCCCTCCGTGGAGTTCAGGGACGCCTTTGATGTGGCGATCGACGGCTTAATAAAGAGGGTCAGCCGTATCAAGCGGGGGCTGCCTCCACGGCAGGACGACGACGACCAGCGACGATGGGATGGCTACTTCGACATGCGGTGATCTTGTGCTGCTCGCTCAATCGCTCATGCACACTGCTCTTGCTTTTGGACTGCACATACCTAGACAAAGAGACGAAGTTACTTTGGCCCGCTGTATACTGTTTACCATCCATCAAGTTACTGTTGACCGTCACCATTTTCGTTTTAGCTCATACGGAGTACTAGATAGAAACAGAACCATCACTTCCTTTTATCCATCGGACTTGCTAGCGCTCGGACGTCCAATCCGTGACACTAGTGTCCGGACGGTGCCGCACAGCAAGCCAGCACCCCTAGCGCGTCGGGCTCGCGAGCGAGCGCCGCAGCAGCGGACCCGCGCCGCTCCGGACATCGCTCACGCCACCCCGGACATCATCCACGCCACCAGCCACTTCCCACATGCATCCCATATGTAACATCTGATCTACTTTTGAAATATCCTGCTGTAACAGTTGCAACATACAAAAGAAAACAGATGAAACACTTGAAACAAACGTCCGAAACACTTGTGAAAACGCCTGAAAACACTTGAAAACCACAACAAACATATACAACATCCAAATAAACACTTGCAAACATACGTATGAAACACCTAAAACACTTGAAAATATATGTTTGCAACATACATGTATATGCAACATTCAGATTTAATTTTACAACATCCAGATAAAACACTTGCAACATACGTCTGGAATAGATGAAACATTTTGAACATACACTTGAAATATACGTGTATAGCCATTACAACATGTGTAACATTCCGATCTACTTTTGCAACATCGATATACAACGTTTGCAACATACGTCTGAAAACATCTGAAACACTTAAAACATACTCTTACAACATGCGCTTTCAGTGTAACATCTATTTACTGCTTGGACGAATGTAGGCTCGTCAATGCGGAGCTCGCCACTCCGGTGGAGAAAGGCCGTGGTGGGTCGCTCCGGTGGAGGCCGCGAGGCGGAGTGGGGCGCGCGGCTGGAGAAGGCCGCGGTGGGTCGCTTCGGTGGATGAGGTAGGACGCGGCAACGACAATGATGCAGAGGGTGGGTGGGGGCTGGAGCAGGAAGCTTGAATGGGAGGGGATCTATGGCTGCCTAGATTTTGTGCCTCCCAGCAAGGGCACAAGTGGACGTCATGACTGGAGGCGGAGGGGCGGCGCGGTCAACACAGCGAAGGGCGGATTGTGGGAAGTTATCGGCCCCAAAGATGGGGGAGTAGGGGAGCATGCCGGTCGGGCCAGTTCGCTGCGCAGGCCTAGGGAGACAGCATCCGACCATCCGGGCACCCTGTAGGAAGCATTTCCGTTTATCCATAGACAAAGCTTCTCTGATTTCACCATAAACTAGAAAAAAACAAAGTTTTCAACTTTTCATAGATCTCTCTTTGCAACTTCCAACAGAAAGTACAAATAATAGTAACATGTTGAAACTCTTCTTTCCAAAGAGTCCAGATCACATTCTGTCGATGTTCACAAAAGTGAAAATCGAAGTCACTCAAATATAGCTTCGTAGCTTCAACCATTATTAAAGCATCATAACCAATTGATGAAAATGAAAAATGGTTGCACAAAAAAAGTGAACCGTATAAACAATTATGATTCTGAAGCATAAGTGATACAGCGCAACACAGACCAAACATACTGAACAAAATGCAGATTTTAAATCGCCGGATAATTGGAACTAGCTGGGTGCATTTTGAAAATGCAACATACTATAAATGTCATCCAGCAACAAATTTTGATTCAACTTAACCATAAGAAAAAGAAGAGCCAAACATACCAAATGTAGACATCAGGGACATATTAAAAGGAGGGAATTGTAAGCACCGCAACCCCAGAATTGAAGCAGGAAGAAGCATAAATACCAAATTTATACATCAGGAACATATTATAAAGAGGGTATTGTAAGCACTAAGCACCGCAACCCCAGAGGTGAAGCTTAAAAGATCCATCTTAGATACTAGTAGTACTTAGAAAAGTGCCAATATTAGTACAACATTATGTTGGTTAAGCATTTCCGTTTATCCATCTTAGATACTAGTAGTACTTACACAGGTTTACTGAGAAAAGTGCCATAACAGAGGCGAGGGGCTTTACATGGTATATTACTGAGAGCTTGCCAGTGTTAGACCATAACAAGCTCACAGAAGCAGAACTACCAATAGCAGACAAATCGAGCATGTCTGACAAGGTGTTTCTAAGGAAGAACAGAATGGAGCAAAAGAGAGCACCTCAGGCTCACAAAGAGCGAGGGCGCCTATACTAGCCAAAATAGCCTGTTAGCGCATCCCACAAGTGTGGCAAAACCGAACGAGAGCATATCAGATCTCTCCTTCAGGTTGTAGGACTGCTTGCTTTATTCTATACCTTAGTTTGCTTAGTAATACTACTGTGTATTAGGGAGGTAAGTGTTGTCAAACGATCTTGAAGTGCTCAACCATGAAGCCACAGGTGGTGCAGGACTTCAGTAGTGTCACTGAGGCAAGGAAGCATCCCCGGCAAGCGATGGTGTGCATACATGGTGAGCATCTGACGATTGCCTCAGCTCCACGGCAGACAACCATCAACTGACACCTTTGATCTAAAGCACGCTCCGTGAGTCCCTGCAAATTCATCAACTGGTCAGACCAATCCAACTCATGTAGAAACAAAATTTCAAACAGTCCACAAATGATATAAACTATTTCTTGACAAGAGGGCGTCAAAGGCAATTCTAATTGTTTCAAGAATATTCATTACCATGTATCTGTATGTTGCATCCACTGCAGGGGATGACTTAACTCCACTTACAGAAGTGCCACAAACCATGCATGCTCTGACATTGCACCTCATCATGCAGGCAACACAGATCTTATGAAGGCAGGGGACAAGCTGCATCCCAGCTTCACAAGATCGACATATGATGCAGCAGTCACTCCTGGGATATGGAGTCTGAAGTACAAACAACAATATTAGTACAACATTACTCTGAGCTTAACCAACATAACAAACATTGTAAGTTTGCAGGCAGGCAGCCCTTACCAGGTACTTGTCCCACTGAGACTGGAAGAAAGAGAATCTCATTTCACCCTCGCAGCTGCTGGGAGTAACTGCTGGCCTTTCAAAAGGACGATCAATGAAGCATGCTGAAGGCCTGGACTCAATCAACTCAAGCTTTCTTGAAGGTCCAAACTCAAGCAAATTAGGCTTCGGTATAGGTCCAGAATCATTCTTTTGAGGAAGAAACCCAGACTCAATCAATCTGGGCCTTGCAGGTACACACTCAACCAAATCAGGCTTTCTTGGAGGTACAGATTCAATTAGATCAGGCTTTCTTGGAGGTACAGATTCAATCAGAGCAGGCTTTACTGAAGTTACAGACTCAATCAGATCAAGCTTTGTAGTACTGACAGGAATATCGTCCAGTAAGCTACCATTGTCAGAGGAACTTCCATCCTGCTGGCTTTCAGCACTGCTCCTGCTGCTCTCATGGCCATGCTGACTCTGAACACAAGTCTCACTGCATGCATCATCAACTTGCTGGATCTGAACATTGGTCTCACTGCATGCATCATCACCCTGCTGGCTGTCAGAGTTATGTGGGGAGTCATCCGCGATGTTGGCATTAAGCGGTGATCTTGGGGAGTGATGATCTGACACTGATTCTGCAAGCTCGTCATGATCAAAGGAGCAAGGCTCTAGCAAGGGTACATACTTCGGTCGTGAGAGTGGTGGAAGGAGGACCATGTGCGTTGCAGGTCCACTTCCAACAGGAACTACACACATTCTGCAGATGCCAGGGAGGGAGCGCATAAAGTCACTTAGCTTAGGATAACCAAGTGCGGTGTGATCAAGCTCCATCCTGCAAGTTGCTCTGAAATCACCCTTCAGAGAGCTCAACGGATACATCTCTCCTCCAAGTCGTGCTGTTTCATCCTCAAGAAATCCTGGCAACCACTTCCTGAATATAAAGAACCAAGATGGAAGGCATTTTTCTGGCAATGGTCGCCGCTTCTGGAGGTTGTGTTCCTCAGTCAGTTCACCATCCAGCACCCTGTGGACCTTTGGGCGCTCCTTGGTGAATTGCCTCAAAGAAGTATATCTTTGGTCTTCTAAAGGCAAGTATGCTCTAGCAACAGCATCCTTTACCTCTACTCTCTTCCCAAGCATGTAAACATGATGAGCTTCCTTTGCACTTATCATATCCTCCTCTCTCTCAAATTTTACAAAGCCAAAACCTCGAGACTGAACTCGGTTGCCAATTGGTATCCCGATGACTGCTGCTTCCTCCACAGGACCAAATTCAGCATTGAAGAATTCAATAAGGTACTCTGTCAAAAAGGAACAACAAAGAAAGTTAGAAGTGTGTTGGTTTAAATTTGTTAGCCACCAAGCAGTGCAGCATTTATGAAGTTTTACCAGAGTCTACTGAAGGTGGGAGGCCCCCAACAAAAATTTTGCGAGTGTAGTCATGCTTGGGCCAATGATTGTTCTAAAAAAGAATGTAATGTAAGAAGCAAACTGAACAAAAAAAAAAGTAAGTATTGACAGATATAGGGATGTATGCTTAACTTACCCGAGGAATAAACTTTGAACCTTGTGCTTGTTTTGGAACATATTGGCTCTTACTCTTAGGCCCTTGTGCAGAACGATTACTGGACCGGAAATCACATTGGCCTACTGATGTCTTAAGCCCAGTGTAGCTGCAGCAAAATTCAAAGAAATAACAGGTGAGAAGTAAAGATGTTATAATTCAAGTAATCATGTAGAGTGATAAAGTAATATCATGTAGTGTACACCAGACATACCTTTCATCACAGTAATCCTTAACAAGATCATCAAATTCATCCCCAAGAAGCTCTTTGTAAATTTCCTTTCTCATTACACGATTCTTTTGAGGTGAGCTATGGTTCCCTGAAGCTAGAACACATTTCTGTTAAAATGGAAATTTCTAGATGTCCACAGTTATTTAGTAATACCAACAGAAATGTAACCAATCTATATGCAAAAAAAAAAAGGGCAGACCCAGTGCCGGAGGCTCTCACATGAGTGGGGTCTGGGGAAGGGATAAACCGAGACAAGTCTTTCCCCCGCAAAATCTGCGGAGAGGTTGCTTCGAACCCACGACATGGTGACTCAGTGAGACAGCTCTCACCACTACACCAGGCCTGCCCTTCTGTAACCAATCTATACGCAATTTAATTAAACTCTGGGCTTGTCCATTACAGCTGCAGAGATCAAATAAACTACAAGAAAGAAATGGAAGTAGATATCGATATATAACTTACAAGGTAACACATTTGCAGAGCTAAGAATGAAACGCATGTCCTGGGATGTTGCCACGTCAATTGGTCTTTGCTTTCTGTTCATGTCAAATAATTGCAGAATGTTAAGTGCATCAGATTATAAACTAAATCATTCTTTCTATTGTCATTTTGCAACTCATTCTTTGTAATTCGATTACTTGACTGTCCTCTGAAGATTTACGCACCTCAGGTTCCGGGCTTTGGTATCAGCCCCAAAACGCAAAAGAAGTTTTGCACAATCCACATAACCATTCTTCACTGCAAAGAATAATGGGGTTTCTTTGGTCTTGGTAGGTATATCAACACAATCTTGGGCATGTAGCAGAAGTGACTTTCGAAGCAAAGAAAAATAAAACCAATTAGTCACTTTCATAACTCACAACAGAGTAATTAGAAAAGTAAGTAGCAAGAGGATACCTGAAGAGCTTTGTAATTGCCCTTAGCTGCAGCGCTGTGTACTGGTGTGAGTCCTAATTTGTTCCCCTGGAAAACTCTTGCGCCATTCTTGAGCAGAAGCCACACAATCCTGCACAATGACAGAAAAACTAAGATGTAAGAAAGCAACTATCTTGTGATACAATGGATACGAATATGTAATTTCTAAGATGTGCACCTTGGCTCCTTGGTACATGAAGCACCACTAAGGCACCAGTGAAGTGCTGTGTTCCCTTCAGAGTCGGCTTCATTGACATCAACATTCCCCATCAGGAGCATCTTTATGACATTCATATCTCCAACCTATACAAGAAAGGCTGATCAGCAGAAGTCTCTGTAGAGATACAGCTGTAGCCTTAAAAACTTCAGCATGTGATGCATAGCACAATTAGCGTACTATAGAATCAACCTAACTTCAGAAAAAAAAAAGTCAGTTTCATTTTTCATGAAAATCAGTTTAGACCCGCAAACACACATTGGATACACAATTCACATTCTAGTTATAGTAGTAACTAAGAGCGCATTTGCATTTTATAGAAATACGTAGTTCAGTCAGATATCATTAAAAAGCAACATAAAGAAGAGCCTCACATATAGGATTTGGAGATAGCTATCCTACTGACAAAAGGAGACTTGAAAGGATGGAATATACCCAAAGATTTAGCCTTAGATAGGAGTGCTTGGAAGACAGCTATTCACGTGCCTGAACCTTGATTGCTTCTGATGGGTTTCAACTCTAGCCTACCCCAACTTGTTTGGGACTTAAAGGCTTTGTTGTTGTTGTTGTATCCTACTGACAAAGGCATTTATGTGTTACTAAATGAACAGTGGTGAGTGGTACCTTAGCAGCTCTCAGTAGAGGGGGTAATGTTCTCCTGTCATTGTGGTCCCTCCATGATGCCGATCCAAATTGGTTAAGCAGCTGAATCTCACAGAGCAGGGCCTTTCTCCTTTCATTTCCATCACGAGCTGAAGCATCTCCCATTGATAAAGCCTCATCCACAATGGAGTTGTAGATTGAGCGCTTTGTTCTGACGCCCTCTATCACCACACTCACTTGTGACGATATCTTCTCTTCAACCACCAGAAGCAGCATTGCCAATGCAGGGACACTTCCTTCCATGGCGTATCTGTAAGCAAGCTCCCCAACCACTCTGGTTTTCTCTGCCAGGAGCCTTATTGCATTGAGATCCTACACACAGAGAGGTGTCAAGCTTGGTTAAAAAGAATAGCTATGAATGAACAATTCAGACAATGCACAAGTGTAATAATGAGGATACGAACCCTTTGTTTAAGAAAAGACAGAAGATCCTCAATTGGGTTGTCCACCGACCAGTTAGTTTGAACTCTGAACAAAACGAGGAAACACATCTTATCTTACAGTACAGTTAATTGCAGCAAATTTGGGGACTGAAGTCAGTCAAAGGCATGCATTACTAGCAATGGAATACATTCACATACCTCCTACTCATTAGCGCGATCTCAAGTGGGAGAAGTGGTCTCCCGTCAACCACCCTGAGATCAGTGCGGGCGTTCTTGGAGAGTAACAGCTCTATGCACCTGGCCGAGTGGGTCTCAGCTGCGACGTGGAGCGGCGTCCGCGTAAGCTGGTCCCTTGCGTCAATGGGGGCCGCCGTGATCCCGCTGCCGCCCTCTAGGAGCAGCCTCGCGCACTCCACCGCGTCGTGCTTGCAGGCGAGGTGGAGTAGCCTCGCGGACATCTCCTGGTCCAGCACCCTCGAGGCGTCGGAGCCCTTGCGGATGCGGCACATGGCCTCCTTCCTGAAGTTCCCCACCGCCGAGAGGAGGAGCGCTGTGTTGTCCTCCGCGACGGCGCGGCAAAAGTTCTCGTGCTTCACGCGCTCCATGCTGCCTCTGGTTCCTGCCCCGCTGGTTTCTTCGCTTGAGTTCTGCGAATTCAAAAGAGAACAAGCTGTATTAGAACAAAACAATGACCAAATTGCTCGAATTGCTTTAATTGGAACTTGTACAATCATAATAGGCGAACTCTTATTGCAGTACCCTCAAGCAACTCATGATCGAAACTTCAACTATCACTGCATTCTATGAACAGTGGCAATCAAAAGCACAAGGTCTGGAAACAGCAAGCTAAAAAAGATAGGCCAGAGTGGAATCTGTCAACAAAATTCAAGTTTGCATGCTATCCTTGGGTTGCCACTACAAAGACAAGTCAGAATGGAATCCGAGAAAGGCATTTAATGCACTACCTTGCGGCAAATTGCTACTGCTAGTGAATTTAATGCACTACCCAAGCAACTCACGAAAAAGGTTTAAAACGAACTTCCAAAATTAACTCAACTTCAAGCAAGCACAGCACGGGACTGAAAAGGAATCCGAGATCACGAAAAGAAAACAAAAATGCAGCCAGTCGAGCTGCTCCATAGACACAAAAACGGAATGCTATAAGAATCCATTTGACGACCCCATGTAAGAACAAGCAGAAGAGACAAGACTTCACACCAAGCCTGTGCCATGTTCAGACCATGGTCAAATCACAAGGACACCACATAGAGCTCGGTCACATCAGCAATACTAGATGGCCACTAGTCAGGTCTACGTACTGTAGATGCGAATGCCACGACACGGACTGTACCGGATACGAAGCTACCCAGCCCAGCCATGCAAGAGATTTGTGCCAAAGATTTTCTTCTGAATCCACACCACCTAGGAAATAGTAGTAGTAGGCAGCTAAGTCCTCAGAACGGGGAAGCATACGAAACGTCCCAACCCCCGAAGGAATCCCAAAAATAGCATGGATGATGGTGGGATCGCATCGAACCGCACTGAAACGTCATTAGCGCCAGCGCGTGAATCTGCCAAGTAAAACTCAACAAGCCATGGAAAACACACAAAACCCAAACCGAAAGGCAAAGCTAGAAATAGAATGTGATGGAATGGGCGGCACATGGAGGGGACGATCAGAGAGCTGGAATTTCATCTGCCCGGCGCTCCCGAGGCTCCCACATTGTTGCGCAGAAATTTCATCCCCTCCGTCAACACGGCTGCAAAAGCAAACCAGCACCACCGAAATCCATCGGAGTAAACCGCGTCACTGGAAAAGGCAAACAACCAGAGCCAGCAATGGCGACGAGTTTTCGATCGAAACCAAACCGCGTCACAGGAAAAGGCCGCAATGTCGACGAGCTCCGCCCACCAAAAGGCGGGGAAAACGCGAAGGCGAAACAAAACCCTATGAGCAACAAACCACAAAACCACAACCGTCAGAATCCGCCGGGATGAGGAGCGGCGGAGGGTTGAAGAAGCACAAATTCGAGCGGAGCAGCAGAGAAAACTCAGCGAAATGGCGGGAATTCGTAACCGAAACCCGCCGGCGCTCACGCTGCATGCTGCGAGCTGGGAAACACACGGCGGCGGCGGAACTCGCGAGCGAAGAAGCCGAGCAGAATCGCAGGAGAGACCCCCCCAGAAAACTCCAAATCCCGCTGAAGCCCCGCGAAATCGCAGCATGGAAGAGCGGAACACAAACGCGCACGGCGCACGCACTCGATCGTCGTCCACGATCTCAACTCCAAACCAAACAAACAAAAAACGAAGAAAAAGGAGGGTGAAATCCCAGCTGATATGATCCACGGCCGCTCGCCTCGGCGAACCATCATCGGCGGCGTCAGGCAACAGAAGCGCGCACCACATTCGCGAGGAAAACCACCCGGAAAGACGCACGCCAGGAGACGAAACCAGACGCCACGCACGCACACCAAGCCACGACGAAATCACATGAGAACAGCAGGGAACCGCAGAGGCAGAAACCCCCAGCGGCGCATGCGTGCGGCGACGAACAAGGTGAGACGAACACAACCGAGCGCGGACGCGCCATTGGTGTAGCTAGCTAGCTCTCGCGACTCGCGAGCACCCAACGCAACAAGGAGGAGCTCACCTCTCCTATGCGCGCTCCCGGTGCGGCGCGGCTCATCCGTCCTCGCACCGCACGGGCGCTCGCCTCCCCCCTTCCCACGCCCCTCCCAGCTTTATGCCAGCCCTCCCCTCCTCCAAAAACCGCTTCACGAATCACGATCGTCTCTCTCTGTCTGTGTAGTACCGTACTCACTCGATCACCACGGGGGCAGCAGCGTCTCCTGCCCTCTCTCTCTTATCTCTGGCACTCTGGCAGGTTGATTCGCGCTCTACCCACTCCCCGTACCCGTCACAGCTTTTGCCCCCCTCTCTCTCTCTCCCTCGCTTTAAACCCTCCTCGTCGCCTTGCGCTTGCGCACGGCCAGCCGGGTCACCCGTTTCCTTGCCGTTTCGGGCAACCGGGCCGCTGCGACTGCGACCGGCCGCGCCACGGGAACCCACCCCAACAAACCGGAACCAACCAGCCAGCAACGCCCGCCCCCACCACCTCACCGCGTCCGCCCGGTGGGGCACGTGGCGGACTGGCGAGCCTCCGGCAGCCGGGATTGAGAAGCTGCTGGGAAGGTGCCGGTGGAGGCGGGCGGGCGGGCGGACGGACCCACGGGTTCTGGAGGAGGATGCGTGGGCCGGAGACGGACTTCGCGGGGTGGGCCGTGGGCATAGCGTCGTCGCCGTTTTCGTCGCGTTCCGGTGCTCCCTCCGGTGCTGCTGCTGCAACCTGCGACGGGCGAGCTCCCGTTTCGCTGCCTGCTCCTGTGTCAGGGACCCGGGGGCAGCGCTTGCCCCGGCGGGCCCCTCTCCAGAAGGCCGGTGGGGCTGGGTGCCAGGATGGAAGCGCTCGGCCCGCGTGTCAGTGACGGCTGTGGGTATCCGTCTAAGGTCTCTCGATCGGTAGCGGGAGGAACGATCGTGCCTGCAAAAGCGTAGGACGGGGGATTAGGAGTGGGACCCGCGTATCGTCCTCTGGAGAGGCGAGTGGGGAGGTGTGGGTTGGAGATGACGTCACAGGGGTAAGGATGAGCATGCCCAAGTGCATTGTGTTTGTGCCCGCAGAGAATTGATGGGTGATGCATTATTCAGCCAGGGTTTATCAGTTAGTCAATAGTGTTTTTTTTCTCATAACAAACCAGCATCAACCGGGCTTATCAGTTCAGAAACCAACCAATGAACAGGCCGATTGAAGGAGCATGTTCAAGTGTGGTATAGGCTGCCCTCCTCCTGTTCTTGATTTCTGTTTGTTCCTTGTGTCCCATGAAATAAATTTCACCAGGCCGTGTCCGGCTTGCAACTGCTTGTCATTACTGATGTAGTACATGTGTGCATATCCTGTTATTACAAACAAACAGGCGTAGCTCTTTGTGATTAAATTGTGCCTTCTCTTCTTGGCTGTGGAAGACGGTGATCATGAGGGTGAATGTAATTAAGCTGACGACGGGAATTAAACAATGTGGTGAGTTTACCGTCGCCATCGCCCATCGGATGGTAAGTTTCACCAGAAGAGAACGGTTGATTAAAGTTTTGATAATTCCGATCCAACAACAGAACTACAGATTTAAGATCCTGTTTGGACCAACGAGTGCTAATGGTTTTTCTGGTTAGGTGGGCCACTACGCCTAGTCAAGCACACTCCTACTAGGTAGCATCTGCTATAATAGCCTCCAAGTTGCTTCGTGCCTCAAGTATGGCTGTACATAAGGGGGAAAGCCCATATAGTAAAAGCATGTTGTGCACTAAAGTTTTGTAGCAATGCACCCACAACGAATCAAATCAAATTGGTTTTTTCAGAAAAAAGGCCGTGACACACGGACGCATTCTTGAAGGGATGTAGATCCATGCGGACCTGATGAGTAGCTGAGCTGACTGGAAGGCGCACGGTGGGACGCAAGAACTGATCGATGACGGATAGCAGTAGCAAGAGAACTAGTAGAGAAGGCAACTTTGTTCTGACACGCATTGAACTGAAACAAAAAAATATCAAAAAAGGACAGTTTTTGGTTTGGGGGTGACCACCCAAAAAGCGGTCGAAAAGGCCGTCCGTGTTGCTTATGAGGTGAGTCGACCCGGGCCTAAACTTCCAAATTTGAGATCGTTCTCTTTATTATATTATATTATATTAATAAACGACCCAAGGCTAGCGCGAGGTGTGTGCGCGTGCATGGCGCTGGCTCCGTTCCGTGATTCCGTCGTCCAAGCATCTGCATGCCCGCGCGTAACGGCCGGGGGCGTTGGCGTGCGTGCCGCCGGGGAGACAAAAGCTGCGCCCGGCGTTACAGTGCCAGCAGTACACGCCGCGTGTCAGGAGGACAGGGGGCAAGCAGCAGCTGCTCCCAGCCAACGGCAGGCGGGCACGGATACTCTTCTCTCATCTCTCCCACGCATGTCCTCCTCTTGAGTACGTCCTGACCTCCTCCCACCCATTTGATTCGTTTCCACCTTCCACTTCCGATCACCTCTCCGGCTCTCCCGAAAGAAAAAGTGGTGGATCGGACGTGCCGTAGCCGTACGTCAACTGCGAGCATTTTGCAGGCCCAGTGAACCCTTGAATCAAATTTTAGTACTCGACCCGCACTACTACAGATTTAGACATCACCGCCGGCTTCATCACTGTCGGATTCGTGAGAACCGGCAGCGATGTACGCTTCCGAGCTTGAAAACAAGAAAATAACTTAGTCTAGACTAAAACCGACATTGAAAGACCACGTTACTGCCGGTTGTTAATATAAACCGACAGTGATGTTTATTTACTGTCGGTTCAATTACTAAAACCGGCACTGATGCCTACTTCGGACCCAAAAATTTTATCAACTCCAGTAAACTCCGCATGCCTCCCAACTCCACACGCCTCCCCACCAGAACTCCGCACGCCTCCCATCTCCTCCTCCCCAGAACTCATCCACACCACACCCGCCTCCACTCCGCCGAGGAGAGCCACGCCGGAGAGGGGCTTCTTCCTCCACCTGTCCCCGAGGAGCGGCGCCAAGCCCCCATAACTGCTCCCGCTCTTCCCCATCACCTCCACGGCGGCGTCGTTCGAGTGAAGATGGAGGACGCTCGGCCATCTCCGTCGGAGGTGCTCGAGCATGCGGTGCGGACCCATGGAGGCCGCGGCAGTGACGTGCGGGACGCTCGGCCATCTCTGTCGGAGGTGCTCGAGTTGAAGGGGAGGAGCGCCGCCTTGGGGAGAGGGCCACCGCCGCCGCTCGCCTGCGCCGCCCACGTTGCCCGCCACCGGATCCGGCTTCCCCGTCGTCGGATCCGGCCTCCCCGCTCGCATCGCCTGAGGGAGAGAGGGAGGGGAGAGGGCCGTCGTGACGGAGGGGAGGAGGGGCGCGCCCGCCGAAGGAGGAGGAGGCAGCCGCGCTCGCCCGCTGGAGAAGGAGGAGGCAGCCGCATTGTGTCTCCTCGGCAATCTCCCTTTTCTGGTGCTCCTGTGTCTCCGCCGGTGTAGATGAGTTTTTTTTGTTCAACCCTGCTCCTTTGTCTGTGATGTACGAATCGATTTGTGGATGGGTTGATTCGTGATGTGTTGAACCCTTCTCCTTCGTCTGCGATGCACGAATTGATTTGTGGATGAGTTTTCTGATGTGTTGAATCCGTCCTTTATCTGTGATGTATGAATTTTTTCTTGGATGAAATGCTCGATGTAGTGGCGGCAGTAGCCAGCGAGCATGGCGGCGACAGCGAGCATGCTCCAGCCAGCATGCTTGATGGATTGCTTTTTTTTTGTTTTCTAAACCTTATCACTGCCGGGTGATGGACCGGTAGCAGTAGCCAGCGAGCATCACTGCCGATATGCCACAGTGAAGGGGGATTTTGAACCGGCAGTGATATCGAAAACTGGGGTAGTGCCGATTCCAATTTTAGTACACGCATTTCGTTAGGGGAGAAAGATACAATATACAATAGTATCTATAAGGTTTCTCCTCCTAAATCTAGTCCTATTTAGTCACTTTTACCTAAACACTTTGACTAAATGGGACCAGCGCCAGTCCTAGGATTTTGAGGGCTCTCCGGCGAACTCGTCGCGACGGCCCCTCTAAACCATGTATAAAATCTTATAATATACTTATAGGCATAAATTTTACTTGCAAAACGAAAGCAAATTCAATAATATATTTTTGATTTAACCAGTCTGATAATTATCTTTTTTGTTTTCTTTTCTTAGCTCCTGACAAATGTTTCTTAGGTAACATTCTAAAATTCTAACACCTAAATTAGAGAAAAAACATGACTATATGAATACAAAGTATTAGAAGTCTAGAATACTATACAAATAATTAATTTGGATTAAAAAAGAACAAGAAAAAAAATACCTAGGGCCTGGACATGAGCAAGAATAACTGATCGGCGATCGCAATTCACAAGAAGACAACAACCAAGATGTCGTCGACGTGGAGCCCTACCTAATCGCCGCCGTCGTGCGCCGTTCTCTGGCAAACAGCAGTCTAGCTCTCCGTGCCGTGTGTGTCTGTGAGTGCGTCGAGCGTCGCCGCATCTGTGCGACTGGAACTCACGAGTCACGATCATGATTAGACTGCGGCGCTCTCGCCACCTCTCTGTCCGAGGGCCACGGTGAAAACTGGGAAAGAACGACAGAGAGGCCGACATTGTCTTCTTGGGCCGACTCTTCTCATTAGTTTGCTGATATCTAATGGACTATAAGGGCCTCGGGGTTTGTATACCTGGACTTGGGCCCCTCCCCTGCCTGGGCCCTCGGCCGTCGCACCCCATGCCTGCCCCCTAGGGCTGGCATTGAATGGGACTAAACACTAGTAGAGAACAGACCTTTGATCCTCGATCAAAATGGGCTCTAGTCTCGGTATTTTTTGCGTCCAGGACTAGAGATACTTTTAGTCCCGGTTGGTGGCTCCAGCAACGGGACTAAAATCCCTTAGCAACTCTGCGCCCGAGGCGGTGGCGAGGGACCTTTAGTCCCGAGTTGGAGCCACCAACCGAGACTAA